TGGATGGTGGGCAGCATGCTGGAACAATGTCTCTCTAAGCAGGTGGATGGGTGTGAATGCGGTGAGGTCTGTTGGACATGAGCAGCGTGACACCTGATTTGAATTTTTTTGTCTATTTACGGTAACCCATCTGGAGACTCTTTCTCCTCCATCAGTATTTTAACTGTCCAAATTTAATACTTGAGGATATAATATAATATTCCCCCTAAACATATTCCAAAATCTGAATATAGCATATTTTAGAAGAAAGTGGAGAGAGAAGCTTATTGTTTCCCTTTTTTCATGCTAGTGAAGCACAGATTTTTTGGGTCTTCATTGTTTCTGTTTTGTTTGTTGGTTGTGGGTTGTTTGGTTTTTTTTAATATCCTCCTTCTAATTCCTGAAGAAGAATTTCTCTCTGAGCTTTATTTCTCTATTTAGAGTTGCCATTTACTACCACTTTGCATCCTTTAGAGTTGTGCTATAGACAGACACACGGGATTTTTTAAACTGGTACTTTCGAGGTTGATTTTGTAGAAGTCACCATTTTATTCTGTTACAGAAAGGATGTGTGGGATTTTAATAGATATTTTAAATTTATTAAGAACTGGACAAGGCAGGAATTCTTATGAGGAACTCCGTTCTCATAAAACCTCTATATTAATTTCTAAATCTGATAGAGTAAGTTCATCATTCTTTATCTCAGCACTACTTGGGATCCCAAACGACACCTACAAGTTTTCCCAGAGACCCATCATCTAGTATTGCTTTGCACTGCAACGTAGAATAATTTTGTTAAAACAACAACAACAAAATAATCTTGTTTTCACGTAGCTGCATTAGTCCTAGTGCTGAGCAGTTCCCGTGGATCCTGGAAAATTGGCAGCTTAAACAGTTTTTGCTCCTCTCTGCTTCCTATTAAGTCAAATAGAACAGATGGGAAGAGGACATGAAATGAAGAACAGAAGTAGACAGTGATAAATTTTTTCTCAAGAGGGCTGAATCACTTACTGCACTACCGTCAGCTGAAATACTCTCCCCAATATTTTTTTTCCATGAAAGAAACTGCTGAGATTGCGACGGTTCGGTCTGTGAACACCAATAGGGTGGGAGCCGCCGGGTGATTGCCCGTGGGCAGAGCAGCAGTCACCAGGATGATGACTAAGAGGGAAGTGGTCTGTGAGGCACCCTCTGTTTTAATATATTTTGTGGCACAAAGGAATGTAAAACCTCTGCTGTTTGTAGTAATTTTGTTGTCACCACAATGGTCTACTGGGAGGAGAAGCAAGTTTTCTAAGGAGGTATACAGTCTCTTGTTAGACCAGCCAGTATGTCCAGGAAAAGCCAACTACCTTACAGGAGTATTAGCCCTTCAGCTTATAACTTCACATGGAGGAACTGGGGACACAATATTTACTCTTTTTTTTTTTTTTTTCCTGCTAGTCAACTGATCTTATTATAAAATATGACATTTTTTCATATTCTAAATCTACGTATCCACAGATTCTTCCACTTTCCTTAAGAAGATCTCTTAGATACCAATGTAACACCCTGCTTCTGTCTGCGGTTCTCTGAAAGGTACTGACTCTGAGTTTTCTTTCCCTTCCTAGTGCTCCCGGGAGCGGCCCGATGTTCAAATCCACAACAGTGACCGTGCGAGACCGTTGCGCTGACACCCCACAAAGCGCCGCCGTAGATTCTGCCGACAAACAGGATTTCGGCTGTACGTTAGCGCACGATGCGCAGAACTGTAAAGACGTTGCTTCTGTTATTTCTTCCACTCCTGGAAGCGCATGTAGTAATAAATCCGATGCAAACAAGTGTGGAGATCAGCTTCAAGGAGCTCAAGGACATAGAGTTGGGTTCTCTTTTGCTTTTCCTAAGAAAGCAGTGGTCAAGCTGGAGTCTTCAGCTGCCGTTTTCTATGAGTATAATGACGAAGCATCTATGGAGCACGGATTTAGCAGAAGAAGTAGATTTGTTCCAGAAGCATGTAACCTTCAATCTCCTTCAGCAGCAGAAATAGTCCTGTGCCCTGAGGAGAAACATAACTGTTTTCAGCCACTGGTGGAAAAAGGCATAGACACAGCAGAAGCTTCTGAAGCTCAGGAGTCAAAAGAGCTGGCCAGTGAGGAAAGCAGGGTGCTGGAGAGTCCCATGTTAACTCCGGCTGCGTCCCGTTCAAGGCAGCTGGTGTCCTCCGACATGGATGGCTATGGTGTTGATGCAAGTGCAGCAGGCTTCCTGGACCAAACGCTGCCCGTGGTTGCGGACAGTGCTCAGGTTCTACCCCTGGACTGCAGCAGTTACGAGCTGCAGGCAAGCAGGGCTCTCGCGCAGGCCCTGGTGGAGGATCGTTTATCTCCACAGGACGTTGCAGAGGAAAATGATAAAGACAGGAACAGTGATTCCTCCACAACTGAAACGGAAATAAAAAAGCTGGAGGCAGATGCGTTAGTTCCATCCCCACCTGCAGAAGGTAGTGGTGGAGCCCCACAAAGCAAACCAGACATGCGGAAGAGACCTTGTGAACCCTTTGTTCCTGTTCTTAGCAAGCATGGATCCAATATTCTTCAGTGGCCGTCGGAAATGTTAATTTACACAAGTACAGACCCGTCGATTTCTTATAGCTGTAATCCTTTATATTTTGATTTCAAGTCATCAAGAGCAAGCGACAGCCAAGAAAAGCCCAAGCGTCAGCCAAACATACCTCATTTGTACCATAAAACTGAATCTGACCATAGCTTAGTCTCGGGTTTTACAAATAAACCTGCTTCAGAGTGTGATGATTATGAAACAGAAGTGCATAAAAATGTGTGCAACTATACAATACCCCTTATTAGTGATGTTTCCCTCATCAGAAGTTGTGATCTTGCAAAAAATCAAAATAAAGTGTCCTTGGATGAGTCGTTCAGGATTAGAAAAATAGAAAAGTATCACATTTCTAAAAATCACTTACGACAAAACACTGTGATAGATGAGAAACATAACAAAGTCTGGATTAAAGAAGGCCATGAAAAATGGCTTCACAAAAGTAGAAAACGGAAAAGGAGAAGAAAATTATGTCATTGTCATCATCATCACTGTGGGGACACAACAGCGTCAGAAATGGAGATGTCCTCAGTGACTGAAAAAGAAATGGTTTTCAGAGATGACAATAAATACCAGCACCTCCAAAATAACCCAGAGAAGTGCAGACATGACATGGGGAACATCTGGCTAGCTACGGGTGAGATACTGCAGTCGCATCAAAAACCTGGCATTGAAAACTGTCACAAGAGAGCCGTGTCTGCGTCACATCATGTACACGGGGATGGAGGCTGGTGTGATGTTTGGAGTGCAAAAACCAGCAGCCAACACCACGGTTGTAAACGGCCACGTAGAAAGAGCAAAGTGAGCTCTCGGAGACAGGCAAAGCAGTTGGCTCCGAGTTCCAGGAGGCACAGCTTGAGGTACTCTAGAACACGTTGTAGCTGCAAAGTCAGGAGGTCAAGCTGTAGCCCAGAGCATAAATGTTTGGGGCGCTGCAGGGAGGAGAAGAGTCCAAGTCAAAACCAGTCCATCAAGAGAGGTTACAACGTTCTGACAGAGGAGCCTGAAAAGTCCCACCACAAGCGGAGACAGCATACCTGTTCCTCTTCATCAGATGAAAGCTCGTGTGGACAAACGTTGCCAGCAGAGGAGCATCTAAGGCAAGCGCGTACTTCAGGTACACATCACAAGGCAAAAGGGAAACGCAGGAGAAGGAAAACTAGAATCCATCGCGTATTCCTTGACAGGAACGCAAGAGGTGAGACCTCCAGACCTTCCAAAGAAAATTCTCCGCGTTCTACAGTAAATATTTTGGGGGACTTCTCAACTCAAGACAGTCTAGAGGAAACTAATGTGGATCCCAAAGGTGATGGTGCAAAAGATATGGATGAAACAATGCAGCTGGAGGAAAGCAAGTCACCTATAGAAACCGATAGTTCACACGTGTCGGGAAACGACAAACTGGCAGCGTGTGCAGCGATGGAGAGTGCTCCGAGTATGTTTTCTGATGTCGTGGCAAGTTCTGCTGCTTCTGTTCCCGAGCACAGTGCTCCAGCAGCTGCCGGCGCGCAGGATGTTCTGCAAGATGAAAAGAAGAAAGAAAATGTCCACAGTCGTGAAAGTCAAGCTCGTTACAAGGTTTCCCTCCCCAACAGGCGTTTGGAACAAGTTCCTCCGAAATCCTACCTTTGCCATTATGAACTGGCCGAGTCCCTACCGCATGAGAAGATAAGTGAGGTGACGAGTGAATGGGTACAGTGTAGCCCTGGCATATTTAGCAGCCCACCACCCTTGCCATTCAAAGAAGCACACGTGAACACTCAGACCTTTCTGACTACCGAGCAGTTACTAGCCCCCTTCACCCTGCCCGATCAGACGTTGATATTCCCTGCGGATAACCACGAAAAATTCAAAGATCTCCCGTCCGAGGCGTATCAGCAGATCGTGCCACAGAACATGCTGGCCAACAAAGTGAAGTTCACCTTCCCCGTCCCGGCGATCCAGCCCCCGGATTCCCCGCTGCAGCCCTTGCCCTTGCAGCCGCCGCTGTGTTCTACCTCCGTCACCACCATCCACCACACCATCCTACAGCAGCACGCCGCCGCCAGCACCGTGAAGGTTCTCCAGCCCCACCAGCAGTTCCTCTCACAGGTCCCAGCTCTTTCCAGAGCTCCTTTACCTCACCTGCCGGTAGGACCGCGGCTTTGCCCGGCGGGCCCCGCGGCTTTCGTCGCCCCGCCGCATTTGCCGCTGGGGCCCGGCTCGGGCCGGGCACCGGACCCGCTTTTTGCTGCCCCCCGCCTCTCCCCCGTCCCTGCTGGCCCCGCACCCGGCCGTCATTCCCCTGCAGCCCCTCTTTTAGGGCAGGCTCGCGGGGACGGGGCAAGGAGCCTGCAGCCCACCGCTCCTGCCGTTTCCACGGTCCCCTCGGCTTTGCAGAACAGTCCTGGGAAACAAACTGGTTAAAATTCCTCGTTCCTTGGGAAGCGTTTCCTGTAAGTACAATGATGCAAACGTTCATGTAAAGTTCAGACCTACACTATAACTAAAGCACTGAGTAGTCTGATACTAATATGAACTCTCTCTATATAAGTAAAAAATCATGTCTTAGAATATGTATAATGTATATAAAATATATTTATAGTTCTATAACTTATGTTGTAAAGTATCCACTTTTTGTTTTTTTATCTTTGTGTATTTGCACCTATTTAATGTTTAGACAAAGCTGATGCACTATGTTTTGTACCATGTTCTCTGAAACTGTAAATCTAGTGACAAACTATCTCTTGCAATAAATTTTTGTTAACTACTCCAGTATATCAAAAATCTTTCATTATAAGCCTCATGGATGTTGTTCTTCCATGTTCTTCTGCAGCTCGATAGCATCCTCTACCCCTGCCACGTCGGGATAATCAGATTTCCTACACGTCAGTGATTTATCAGGGAAGCTAATACCTTGAGGGCAGCTGTCTTGCCGAGCGAGAGAGAAGGGGTAATAGATCTGTTTCTGCTAGGGGTTTGATGTCACCAGGACAAATTCTGCCTACTTGTAGCATGTGCACAAACTGCTGGCTGCTGGAGCTCATCCCTTTTATACGAAACCACCAAACGGCGACGTAACAAAAATAACGTCAACAGTAGAAGAGGGAAAAAAGGAAAATATCAACGGCAGTTTGACTTCAAGGGCATATGGCTTACAGCAAAAAGGTAGAGCCCAGGAAGGTGTTGGTTCCACCAGGCGTCCCTGGGCAGGGGACCAGTCTGTCGGAGCGAAGGTCCTCGCTGCCTGTGCAGTATGCAGAGATGGTAAGAGCACAGGGGCGTGAAGGGGGGGTCAGGAACAGCTTCACATGGGGAACCCATCAGGGTTGGATTCAAATTCTTTCCTCGCTTCACGCCCCGCTCCTTTCCTGTGGCATTTTGCTGAAGAAATAGAATAAAATAGAATAGGAATTAATAGTAATACTAATATACTGCCATTATTTCTGACTGTATTTCAGAGAATTCTCCCTACCTCTGCAACCTTTTTAATGCTGTCCAACCTCGCCTGGCTTTAGCCCGGGAAATCTTCCCATTTGCTGTAGTATGAGAGATATCAGGCCCACACCTGCGATGGTCCAGAATAAAACCAGAAGTGGTTCTGAGCAAGAGCCGTCTCTCTGAGTTAAAATGGAGTGTTGTAATGTGAGTGAAGCTAAGGATTTGCAGCATGACCGTTAGTGCTAGAAGTAGGCTCTCCATAATTAAAGGTAGGTGCTAGCTTGCCAATTAATTACTTCTTTTCAGCTTTTTATTCAGTATAGTAAAAGTATACACAGTTGAACTGAAAGAATAGTGATTTTGAAATATTATTAATATACATTACATATTAATAGTTAAAAGACGTTATCCATTTGAGAAATAATAGTGTATCCTAAAACATATATATCTGGGTGTTATTTTCTGCATCTATAGCATTGAAACTTAACTACATATTGCAAGTTTTACTCTAATATTACATTAAACTAGAGCAAACAGCATCTCGCCACTGTGATCACAGTGTCAGCTACGCCAGGGATGCGAGTTCTCCGTGCCGTGCAGTTACAAAGGGCTAAACTATGTTAATAAGCAAAAAGCTGATAAGAAGGAGCAGATGGGTGCGGAGGGAGGCTCGGGTCCCCTCCTGGGGCTGTGGCATGGAGCGGGATGTTGCTGAGCATCTATCCCTCTAACACCATAAGGAAGGTATATTTCCTTTAGTCGTAATTTCAGGTGAATACCTGTTTCTAGTTAGCCAGTGCCTGAGAAATACAGCATGCAAGTGACTCTCTGCTCCTCCTTCATTTCAAGAGAAAGCCTGCATAACCCGTGGGTCTCCACCACCTCCTGTGAAAGGCAGGTGCCACGCGGGCTCTAGGCACGAGCAGCTCTGTCTGAAGGTGGACGGTGCGTGCTGGCTGCTGCGTCTCCCGTCGTAGCTGCCTCGCGCTGGGTTTTGGGTTTCTGCCCGTGGTCCCCTGGGTGCTGGTGTCTTATCAAAGACAAAATCCATCTCATTACCTAACAGTGTACTTGAAAAAAAGACACACGTAGGACAGGTATGATTGCACGTGATCATATCCAGCTGTTTTTTTCTGGCAGGAGATTAAAAATTACCGATCTCAGATTTTCAGTGGCAACATTCATTGAAAAAGTCTTATCTATTAAATAGAAGTCCACATCTTCTCAAAAAAATGTCCAAACGGCTTTGAACGTTACATTTTTTCTTACAGTTTAAATTATTTTTTCCCTATTTTCAATTGTTAAACAGTTTTAAGACATTGCACAATTATTTATTATCTACTGTAATGACTTTTCAATAGTGTATAAACTACTTACAACAAAAGACTAATGACCATCAAATGTCATAATTTTCTAATATGATATTGCCTTTAGTGCTAGAATTGTTTGTATATGTGAAAGCAAAACCAATAGGAAAATAAATCAAAAGTTAGCTTAAAATCGAACACACTAAATTAAATGACTTGATAAAATACTCTTTTGAGTTTCTGTTTTATTATTAAGTATATAACTTTGAGTAAGTTATATAAGGGTAATTCTTGTTTCATGTTTTATCTGGTATTTTAGATTAAAGGCGGATTTTTATTCTGTAACTTGTTAGTCTAATTTATAAGTAAAAATTATTGCAGATGCTAAATAATTGATTTTTTTATCATTCAAATAAATTCCTCCAAATCTATTAAATCTAATTAATTTCCTTTTGAATTTTCAAATTTACACAGATCTAGCCTGTCTGTGTTCCTGGCCAGTTTGCCAGTTTTTAGACTGTGAACAGGAAAAGTGATACCCCTGAATTGCAAGAATTGAATCTCCAGACCTAAACCTAGAGGAGGTTATAGATTTGGTTAAGCCATTTCCTAGAACAGCTCTGCAGCCGAGAAATACCTGAAAAGGTAGTGTGTTCCACTGGGGTGAGAAGAATATCTTTGGTTTGGTCCTTGGGAGGCTGCAGTCCGTCCAGACTGTGACCTTCTTGGGGCCGGACCGTTTCTCAGGTAGCGTGAGCCGCAGAGCGGTGCAGGCTTTCAGGAACGTCGTCGTCTGGCGCCCTGTGGCCACTTTGGAGTAACTGGACTCTTTTGGCTTGTCTGTAAGTACGCAGGATTTTTTATTGCTGCCAATGCTTGCAAAAAATCAAATTGTTTGTTTAGTTTCCTTCACAAACTAGAAGCTATGCAGGCTTTTAATTGCTGGGGAGAAATCACCAGATTTCCAGTGCTGCAGGAGCGAGCGATGGGTGGTCGTGGGCATAGAAACTGCCCATCACCAGCACTGGTAAAAGAAACACCTTTGATGGAGTATTATCAGGTGAGAATATTTTTGTTGTTTGGTGCAATCAAACAACAATGCAATCATTATGGATCGAAGTCTCCTTTACTTGCAGTGTTAATTGTTTATTAGTTAGTAAGCTTTTACACTTTTAAAAACTCGTGTGGGTTTGGTATTCACACTGAGCTTTAAAAGACCATCGGGACATCTGTATCTCTTCAATATATTAGGATATGGGATAATATACTACTTATACAATATCTAACATATACTGCTTATACAATATCTAACATATTTTTTCTGCTGAGTTCACTTTCTCTAGCAGTACATTTTTCTCAAAATACGTGTTTTCCATTATGGTAACATTTATTTGATACGCTGCATTTAAAATACAGCTTTAAGTCTATTTGGCCAGACTCTTAATTGGTGTAAATCAATGTACAGCTTCTGACTGTGATGGAATTTCCTTGATTTGTACCAAGTGAAAATCACTCCTGTTGCAATGTTAAGGACTTTGTGAGATTTCCCAGGTTAAGGCGATACGTTACGACCACGTGAATGTATTTTGCAGACTGTTAGTTGTTTGTGACTAAGGTGGTGGACTTCAGTCTACTGGGTGTTTTACTGTGGTGCTCACAGTCTGCACGTTCTGAACTCCATACGTTCATTTTCTGAGATCTCTTACTGTGCATTGCCTAAAGACTTGTATATGTGTAGCAGTGCACGTATTTATGCAATATGCCTACCTGTTGTAAAATTTTACAAAGCTGTATTAGCTGCCTTTATTGAAAGTAAAGACATTTTTACTGTATAAAGATCATTTGATATTTTTTAATGAATGTGGCTTACTATCTGTGTATGTTATTTTACAGATCACTTAGATTTAATGTTTGCCACAGGCATGGTTTTGTATATTATTCTGTGTCCTTCCTTCTCCTCTTTAGGAACTCTATAAAGTTTTCTCTGTTTCTGTTTGCCTGTGAGTAAGATTATCAGAATTTGTTGGAATTTATATATTTATGAATACGAACCAGGCTTTTTTATTACGTCGAACTGCGAAAATTAGTGTACCAACTTTAAGAATTATAAGAAATCTTATTTTTGCTTCAAGCTTCTGTTTTATTTTATGGATTTTATAAAAGGTCGGGAGAATTTCTACCCTGAGTCTAAATTGTGACCTGTTGGTGAAATTTTGAAACCAATGAAGTCTAAAGAAGTTTTGCAATTAATATTACTGAGGATCTATTTTGACCCTGGGGCATTAGGGCTCCTTATTTATTAAAACCCCCTAATACTTGCTGCTGAATAATAATTTCATAAGGTAAGATAAGGAGCACAATCCAGTAAAGAAAAGTTAATCCATTTTAAATCAGTCTTTTACCTCCTTCATTGTAAGGGTATTTGTGTAGTTAATGACTATAAATTTAAAATTTCTGTTAGATATCAGTGTTTTGAAACAGATACATGCACCTTTTATTCCGATACCAAAGAAAAAAACAGTTAATGAAAACATTAAGTTTTCTACCTGTGCAGGCTCATTTGGAAGTTCTAGGA